GGCTCAGGCACCGGCCTCCGGCTTAATAGAAGCGAAGTCAGCACGCACGGCGTTTTACATGGCGTTCCCATAGCGTAAGCTTACGCAATAGGAGGAACCTCTCGAAAGGGAACGACTCGGTTACTATCGTAACCTCGGTTCCCTGAGAGGAGGGAACGAGTATTGCGTAATCTGCCGTGCTTGTGCTTGGTCAGTTTGCTTCAGTCGATTGAACCTAAAGAACTCAGACGACGGGGCGCCCAATATATAGCCCTTGGCCACGCCCATCTTGGCGGGCTCTGACGCGCGTGGGCGCGAAGCACGCTCATTGGAAGCGGGTTCAGAGTCGCCCCGTCATTGGTTCGTGCAAGTTGCCGCAGCACAGCCAATGACCGAGCTGCCTCGCTCATTGCTGTATGCTGTGCAGCTGCAATGCATTTTACATAAAGACTTCAATATTTCTCGAGAAAAGGAGTTTTCCCATAGCGTTCCCATAGCGTAAGCTTACGCAATACTCGTTCCCTCCTCTCAGGGAACCGAGGTTACGTTAGTAACCGAGTCGTTTCCAGGAAACATGACGTTCAACGCGGAAACCGTAGCAAAACGTTGCGCACCGTTTTGAACTTGAACGTGCCCCAGATTTTGTAGCCTACATTACAAAGATGGATGCCGCCGTCGAACATCACTCGTACAAATCAGCTATCGCGTCTGTTTTAAGCGATTTGAACGTTTCCTTTTAGTTAAAAACCGAGCAAAGAACAACACTCGGAGATGTTTCTGCCGCTCTGCATACGTCATCTCCTTCATCGCTCTGATTGGGTTTAGGTCTGTCCGCGACGTCCGTTGGTGACGCCCCTCTGGAAATGATTTGTCTGACGCTTTGCCAGACCATAACTCAGTTACAACTGAGAATGGTCTGGTTTTAACCAGGCTAACAATGTTCAGATTTTTGTTCTAAAAATGTATGCAAATTAGTGCATATTTAATTAGACAGCACCTCATTTGCATATTTAAACATAACATTTCAGAAAACTTGTTTGCTATTATAAATGTAATCAATCGACTGGTGAAGTATGGTGATATTTATTATTATTTTTTTTTATTTTTATTTTTACCCTATTCGCCTGTGGTGTCTCGCCTTAAACATAGACTGTGTAGAATAGATGGAGTCCATCAGCACCCCCCAAAGCTTCACAGTCCTATACGTCTCTGACTGTGGCTTCAATATTTGATTCTGTAACGTTAGGCAGTTTTGATTTACACTAAATTGCCAAAATTATTTGGGACACCCCTCCAAATCACTGAATTCAGGTGTTCAGATCACTTCTATGGCCACAGTTGTATAAACTCAAGCTCCTAGACATGAAGACACTTCTACAAATATGTGAAAGAATGGGTCGCTCTCAGGAGAGTGATCATCATGTCAAAATCCCTTGTGTTTACTATCTGTATCTGGACGTCTTCAGTCCACAACATGTCTCACACCTTCCTCCACACTGACCACTGGGTCGTGCCATTGAGCTTCTGCCAGGAGCTCCTTTACCCAGAGTCCAGTGTCTGAAACACACACTTCCCTACTACAGTTCAGCTCACAAGTTATGCAGAATATGTAAGTCCTGAATAAGCTGTTTCACAGATGCTGACCCACAAGTTAAAAATAATAACTGAATTTACACAAATGAACCAGTTCAAAAAGCATGCATACCCTTGAATTAATATTGTGAGTTGTTACCAGATGACCAGTGACTGGTTTTATGTTTTGTAATAGTTGTTCATATTTTGTCCTGAACAGTTAAAGTGAGCAAAGTTCATGCGAAACGTCCTCGAGTTTCCTCACATTCTTTGATTTTCCAGCATCTTCTGCATATTGAAACCCTTTTCAGCAGTGACTGCTTGATTTTTAGATCAATCTCACGCTGAGGACAATTGAGGGACTCATAGACAATTATTAGCTGAAAACATTCACTAATGCTCAAGATGGCAACACGATGCATTACGAGCCGTGGGTTATTGCATATTCTGCAAGGGGTGTGAAAACTTATGAGCAGAACTGTATATAATAGGTGAAAAACATTATGTCTTAAAAGAGTAGGCAAAAGCGACGCACCTGGCGCTGGTGGCTCACAGGATAATGACAACATGGCGAATATAGTACGTCCAGATTTCATTCATACTACACACATTCATAAAGAACATTATTTTTTAGCGCTCATAAAGTAATTACTTGTTCCAAATAAGTACCTTGTCAAGATTTCGGATGCAACCATTGTATTCCAAGCCAGTTTCAGAGCGTAGCTACTCATGCAAGTTTGAGCAAACAGTGGTTTATCAGGATGTTTTTTTTTAGCAATATTCATCCCCATGGTAACTTGAGATATTGACTAACCTGATATTGGGAAACAAAACTTTGACTAACCAGCTGTGAGCAAATGGTGACACACACAAGTTTGGGGTCGACAAGATTTTTTTAAATGTTTATGAAAGTAGTCTTTTATGCTCAATCAATCAAAAATACAGCAAAAAACAGTTATATTGTGAAATATTATTACCATTTAAAATAACTGTTTTCTATGTGAATATATTTAATGATCAAAGCTGAATTTTCAGCATCATCCAGTCTTCGGTGTTACACATGATCCTTCAGAAATCACTCTAATATGATGATTTGCTGATCAAGAAACATTTATGATTATCATCAATATTGAAAACAGTTATGCTCCTTAATATTTTTGCGGAAACCATTAAACTTTTTGTTCAGGATTCTTTGATGAACAAAGTTCAAAAGAACAGCATTTGAAATAGAGATCTTTTGTAACATTATAAATGTTTGCGGTCAGTTTAATACATCCTTGCTGAATAAAAGTTTAATTTCTTAATACATTTTTTTTTTTTAAATTATATACTGACCCCAAACTTTTGAATAGTATAGTTTATCTGATGCAATCAAGTCATTCCCCCTCTATCATTGCTCCGGAGACAAAACCACCTGGGTTTGCATGCTAATTATTTAATATATTTATTTTATATGAATTATATATATTATATGTTTAATAAATTATACTTCAAATTATACTAAATTATACTATTTATATATATATTATTTATATACGTGTATATTTATATAGTGCTTTATACAACAGGCCTACAGATTGTTTCAAAGCAGCTTCACAGTGGAGACAGGACAATGATGCATTTCAGCTGTTGTTTAGCTAAACTCATTGTTGATTAAGTTCTGTTTTTTTTTTTTTATAATTCAACTTTTTTTTAATTGTCCAACAGTCAAAACTTCAGAGTACATCACCACAGTAATCAGTAGTGATCATCTTTGCAATAGGCTTTATGCACAGCTGCACTACTTCCTGAACTTCAGCCAGCTCCTTGTTTCCTGTCTGACATTATTGGACAAACTGATTAATCCAGGTGTGCCTGACCAGTAACAAATACCAGACACACCTGGGTTAATCAGTTTGTCCAATAATGTCAGACAGGAAACAAGGAGCTGGCTGAAGTTCAGGAAGTAGTGCAGCTGGGCATAAAGCCTTCAGCCACCGGTTGGTATTAGGCATGACATGTAGGAATTCACTGGCAGGCTCCCATTGTCACAGTCACCACCTATAATTGTCATCGTCACTCTCATGTGTTAGTCTCCGTCTGCACTACAGTTCCCATCATCCTCCTTGGCCCACACCTGCGCCTCCTTCATCATTACCCGCACCTGCCAGCACTCATCATCATCTGCATCCCCTGTGTTCTGTCAATCAGTGTTCATCTGTGTCACCTGGTTTATTATGTTAATCTGTGTTTGTATTTAGTTCCTTTCAGTTCAGCCAGTCTTGGTAGGTTCTTAGTTCTATTTAGTGTGTGTGTTCATCCTGCCTGTCTGTACCTGTTGGAATCATATCATATTATATTTAGAACAAGTTTGTATTGGAGCCTTCTGACTCATCATCTTCATCTTCCTACACCACACCGTGACACCCATATGTCATCCCAGGTTTTGCCACTGTAAAATATCATAAATGCAAATGTGCGTCAGATGCCATGTCTTCTAACATGCCGTGTTAATACTGCCACTATCCACTGGCACATGCCAATGAAGACCGGATGTGCCAATACGCATAGTGACATGTGCCATTGGCTTCTGTGCATCAGATGCCAGTTCTGCCACTTAATGTTAATATTGCTACTGCCAAGACGTCAAATTTCAACGCTGCAGGGTCCGGTTCAGAGTTATATAGAAGTCTATCGGACTACCCTGCACGTTGAAAAATTACGCAAAAGGTATACCCAGTGCGTTAAAAAGTGGCGACAAGCGTCCAGTGACGAGTTGGGGAGTGAGAATGTGTTGCCTAGGGCTAGCCAAGGCTACACCTTCAATGCGTCATTGTTTCAGGCTGGTTAAAAGCAGAGAGTCGAGTATAGGCTAAAGGATTTACAGAAGACATTGGTAAGAAACACTCGTTTCAGCCTACAATGAACCAAACAGACAGCAAACGTGTTTTGGTAAGTGTTAGAACTGTTTCATGTGCCAACTAAACATTTTAACTACTGTTAAAAAGTCTTTGGTTGTTGTTTTACTCTATATGATAAAGTAAACATTACCAAGCATGTAAAACAAATAAGCCCCGCGAAGCCGTGGATTACAGTGGAGCGTTGTTCGGCACGACGCGGAGCATATTTATATAAAGGCTATGTATTAATATATATATATATATATATATATATATATATATATATATATATATATATATATATATATATATATATATATATATATATATATATATATATATATATATATATATATATATATATATATATATATATATATATATATATATATATATATATATATATATATATATATATGCTTAATCTTTTCACTGAATGACCGAAAGGGATTTTGTTCGTTTTCTACATTTGTCAAATTGTTTTTGGTTTCCATTTTCTTGTCTTGAACTGTTTCTAATCCCTGATTTAGACATACGTGATTTGAAAGTTATATTGAAACAGTATTCTCATAACTCTAGGCGATATTTGTGGGAGCGCTCAGTACTCTATGTGTCGAAACATGCCCAAGGGACCATTTCCAACTTCCAGATTTGCAGTGCTGCCCTAACTGCCTAGAAGGTGAGCTCCACTGACTAAATAATAATACATCTGAATATATTGCAGTGACCAGTGTTAATCACTAAATAATCATTCAATGCAAATCTACAGGTTGGTATGTTGCCAAGAACTGCTCCGAAGGATCCGGAGTCTACATTGGTGTGGGTTGTAATAAATGCAGCAGATGTGAAGGTATGTAAAAACTGTTTCACCCCTTTTTACATGACTGAGTTTATAGACTAGATGCCTTTGCAGAGCAGACTGGGCTGTTCATTTCAATTCTGCTCTGAGAATACAATCCTTTTTCTCAACCTACAGAAACTGGACAGATAACTGTTTCCAGCTGCACGCAGTTCGCAGACACACAGTGTGCCATGGGTGAGAATAATACTTCATTTCTTAAATTTCATATATTTCTGCAGCTTCAATAATTCATGTTTTTATAACATCTTTTGAAATGTTTCTTTAATACAAATTGGTATGCAACTTTACGGAGCCCCTAAAGGGACATGGTGGAGGAAACATGAGATGGAAGGAAAAAATATATTTGAAACTTTTGCGTTTACTAGCAAAAAGTTTGCATTCGGTCACAAAAGCACTGAAATATAGATTTTCCTTCCACTTGAATTATAACATCTCCATCACTAGTTTCAAGCAAAACTTTTTCAAGAGAACAAAATATTTCTCGGGGGACCAAAAGTATTGATATAATTTGTAATTGTAAACCCATGTGTATGCTGCTTCTGTTCTAAATTAGAATATTCCTGCCTTTGTATCTGACATAGTTTTTTTTCCTTTTCATATACTTTCCCTTTTACCTGCTGCTTGTCATTTTATTTTATTTTCTCTTTTATTTCTCTTAGTTCCTACTGCACACACCTCTGTTGCTACACATCCAACATGGTTAGAAGGTGAGTCATATTTCATATAATCCATCATCAGATATAGTTTTTCCTTCCTTGCCACAGTTGCCTGTGCCTAAAAGAACTAAATATAAAAGTAATATTGCATTATTTTATATTATATTGCTTAAAGGCACAATATGTAGGTTTTCTTCGCCACAAGAGGGCGCAGTTTCCAACAATAACAAAGGCGTAGGTTGATGACGCAGTGATGAGCTGAATGATGGGACTTGCTGTCAAGCTGATGGATCTAATAATGGTTATGGATGAGTGCAAACATTCATGTTTTTTAACATTACAGTGGTATGAAGCAGGGCACGATTGCTAAAGAGACAGAAATCACACACGAGTCCCACGGATATAAAGGAATAAGGACATTTAATTCTACCGAACTACCCGCAAGTGCTGGATTACTCGCAGGTCAGTTTATTAGACGAATTAAACGTGTGAGGTAATGCAGCGCTGCTTCACTTGGTCTAATGTTACACTATCACACTAAACAACATTTAAATGTGTGTTGAAAGTTATAATGTTATACTACGTGTTAGTTCGTTTGCTATATGAAAACTAGCAGTAAGCTAGATCAACATTAGAATAACATACTGACCATATTCTAACATTTTATCATGTTGAGCTAACGTTATATAACATTGATTTGTTTTATGTACATTTGCTTACCTGTCTAATAAAGCTGTCAAGTCGTGACTCATGAAGCTCTGTCAAGTCCAAGTTAGTCGCGGACGCTAGCTCTCGGCATCTCAAAAACGCCACGCTGATATTGATCCTCGTTTTAGTTCTCCTTGCTTGTCCCAAAGTCTGCTTGCCATGGTCTATGTTTGAAAGAAACAAGAACTGCGTGCCGCTAAACGTTACGCACTAGGCAGTTGTCCACGTCTGTTGCCATGGTTACGTCATGGCTATGGCAGTATGAACGGAAACCGAGGATAGCGCGGATATTGCGTCATTGACAGGCGACATTTTTTTCCGGGACGGCCACTTATTTAAAATTGGAATTTCTCTGAAATAAAAAATCTTTGGAGACTTTTGGGATATTGTAAGTACACAACTGCAGGAAATATATCACACTGTGCAAGTGATTTTTGGAAATTTTATTACAAAATTCTGACATATTGTACCTTTAAGGGTGGGCAATATGACCAAAACCATAAAACCTTATATGCATAATTTTAATGATGGCAGTGATAAACATCATCTAATAGGCCTGAATCTGGCTGAAATAGGTTTGTCACTAGAACAAAATGTTATAAAGTGAATTTCATGTTCCTCACTATCACTGCAAATGAATTGACTTGACTATCATATTTTATAAATTAGTTAAAATATAAAATCTGTCTTGTAAAAAATACAAGATAATAGGCCTCGACCCTGATATATTCCTCTGGGTCATTTTGATAGTACTCCCCTTGTTAGGGTTATTGTTTAGAGTACTTTGCTACCCATAGCTCGTATTTTATCGCCCTTCACCACCCAGGCTCAGGTAGAGAAACGGATTAGTTAACAAATCCCCCCCCCGCTGACGCCCGGGACTTTCAAAGCCGTAGGCCTCCTCGATAGTCCGGTAGTGTAAGGATGTACTCCCCTTGCTTTAAAGGGTCGATATTACTTCTGAGAACACTGCCTGTTGGCAATGTTAAATAAGTATAACGAGGCCCACAGAGATGTCTGTGTGAGCACCTGGCTTCTGTGGCTAGCTCTGCTAACAGTCCCGCTATCAAATAGTTAGGCCTTAACAGGCCCCTTGAAGGCGGCTCCCCAACGATTGGATGCTTAGCATTGCAAAGGCATTAAGTATCACGTTTCAGGCCCCCATGGAGCCTCCCTGTTTCTAGCCCAGAGCCTGGTCAATTCTTATCAGGTTTGAGCATATTGTTCTAGAATCTATCTGAGGATCGTTCTGTATGAATACATAGCTCCCTAAGTCTGTTCGGAAGGTCGAAGGACTCTCACAAGGCCTCCCGGTTAGATCAGCCCTAGAGCTGGAGGCGCTCCCCTTATTAGGGGCCCTCTTAAGAGTGCCCAGCCTCCACAGGGCTTTGAAGCACTGTGAAGTAGATCCAGGATTGAGTAGAGTTACTCCCCTCGTTCGTAAGGGTTAGAAAGCGCTATGCTGAGTTCTACTCTCCAGGGTGCCCATCTCTATGATCCGGTCTGTGAACGATAACTGCCACTATCTGCAGTCCTCCCTATCGGATTACTCTACAAGTGTGGAAAATAATGTTAGAGACTCTGTTTAGGAAATAGACAGATTGTTGGCAAGACTAGTAAAATAGACCAGGTCAGCCTCCCTGGTGGCATGTGGGGTTGACTTTATGTCCCCCTCAAAAACTGGACGGGACTCCTTTCGGACCCCCTGGCCATATTCCCTTAAAGCAGTGGTTCTCAACCTCTCCTGCAGGGACCCCCTGACACACCATGTTTCTGTTTTAACCCTGAAATGGCACACCTGATTCAATTAATTAAAGGCTTAATGAGTCATTATTAGAGTAGGAAGTAGGAATTAGTTAATTGATCAATTAGTCAACTACTCATTAAGCCTTCAATTAATTGAATCAGGTGTGCCATTTCAGGATTAAAACAGAAACATGGTGTGTCAGGGGGTCCCTGCAGGAGAGGTTGAGAACCACTGCCTTAAAGGAACCCCTTCCACGGAAGCTGTTGGTTCCAGGCCTTTGAGCGGCCTGTAGGCCTTCATTGTATCGGAGGCCTCTTTGAGGCTTATAGCTTGGGCAGTGGCTGTAGGGAATACTGTCACTGACAGTCTGTATGTGACCCATTTTGGCATTTCAGTGAAATTTGACGTTTTGTCATAGGCTGTCGCCGGCCAGTAGGATTGCCGTGATTGGATAAGCGTTTCAGACACTGGTTCACATGGAGGCGTTCCCCAAAGCGTCAAATCGACGCAGTGTCTCGTTCCTTGTTCTCAAGGAACAGAGGTTACAGTCGTAACCTAGGCTGCGTCCCAATTCGCCTACTTACACTATGCCCTAAAAGTATGTACTCTTTAAAAAAAAGTTCATACTTTTGAGTGTGTAGCAAAAGAGTAGGCAAGGCCAGTCGTGGGTCTTTCGTGCGAAGACTCTCCTCATGTGTGTGCAATTTGAATATAATGATGCATTTAAAAGTTAATGGCGAAACGTATCACAATGCTGCTGCAGATGCAATAAAATAAAATCTAGCCAAGATTGAATAAATACATGTTCGTCAGGTTAGATACTAACAATTAATCACTCAAACCCCTTTATCTAAACCTCTCTACATAACCGCCGGACTTGCGGTTAACCCGTTTACATAACCTGTTTACATGCGTGAGCAGAGAGAGTTTCTCCTGTATACATGGAATTGCAATATCTCGATGTAAACGGCGACGCACGGTTAGCGTCAAGACAACCTTAAGACGCACTATGCGTCATTTCCGATTCTTCTTCCTGTATCCAAAGACAACAACAACAGCAGCAGCACGCGGATAATGAATAGTTCGGGGCAGATAGCGATCGCCTTTGTTTGCGCTTTGGTGCTGGTACTGACCTCGCTCCAAAAGTATGCGGTGCTGCGTCTCGCCATGTTTACTTCCGGTATACCGCACGCAGGTTTTTGTATGCGTCGAGAAGTTCCTCTTCTCAAAAGACCAAGATTCCTTGCGAATAGAACATGCGCAGAACACAAATCACTATGGGGATATGCCGATGCGCGTTTACATGACCAAAAATTCTGGTTAGAAAAGGGGTACCCCAGGTATCATATCCCGGTTTGTAAAATCCGGGATATAAGCATATTCGGGTTTTTGCAGGTGTTTACATGGCCGTGCGCGACCGGGTTATTGCTAATATCCCGGTTTTAAACGGGTTATTGGCTGCATGTAAACGTAGTCATTGTCTGTAGTTTAACACTTTTCACTCGTGTTTGTAGTTCTAACCGAATCCTCGTCCAACGCGCGATGGGTTGTGGGCAATATCAGCCGCCAGAGTGTGCATCGATCTGCACTTCGGATTCTGACCGGAAATAGTAGACCATCCGGGTATCTTTGGAACACTCATTTCAACATACTACGATTTGGGATGTACTAATTCTATTTTCAAATACTATTTAGGACGGATAGTATGCGAATTGGGACGCAGCACTAGACCTTTTCATTGGTAGTCCCTTTGGAAGATGCTATTGGGGCAAAAAGCTAAAAAAAAATTAAAAAGAGAAATAGAAAGGAAAATGACAACAATAATAATAATCCAACCAACTCTATGAAATGCATTTAAACAACACGTTGTACAATGGAAAGGTATAGTTGTTTCCGCGAATCCGTGTGAACTGGGATCGTTTTGACAATGTTGTCGTCTGTATGTGAAACTTTTAAACAACGCAAAGGAAAAAAAATTATGATTTTTGTACACCCTCAGATACCCCTCAATAAACCCATGCAGGAATATATATATATATGCTAATTGCTTTCATCCATTTCCC